TTGTGCAAAATTAAGTTCTGTGTAGGTCTGTACCATATTTTGGAAAAAAATTGTGTATAAAATGTACTTAATTGCTAAAAACAATCCCAACATCAGACAACAGAGAAAGAAGAAAGAGATCAGATGCAGCTGAGGTTTACACATGAGAAACTAACTACAGTATGTTCTTAAAGCTCCAGGAATACATTCTTTCAAAAACTAGAATGCACTTTGGTCATTATTAAACATTAGTACAGAGGCAAATAAAATACAAAATGCTTGTTTGTGTTACTTTATATATAAAAATATTTTTATACCACAAAAGTTTAAGACACATTACACTGTCTGCTAAACTTCAGATTTTTTTTTTTTTTTTTCAAGATTTGAAGTAATGTCCAGACTTGTGTAACCTAATTACCTCTTTTTCATTTTTCAGTATGAAGCCATTGATTTGAGGAGTTCATAAATGTATTATTTTAGAAACACAAAACGTAAGAATACTTGAGCCTGGTGATATTAATCCTCCTAATACAACTTGTAAACGGAAACTTTGCTCCAACTAACTTAATTCTAAAGGGGTGAACCTCTACTTTTGTTATACTGAGAAACCAGGAGTCAATATATGACTGGCCCATGTGGCAGACAGGGACAGAAGACAGTGAGACATGGAAAATCCAAGGCTGGAGCTCCAACTAGAGACAGGAAACCCAAGCCTGGAGCTCACAGAGGGCACTAGGGGATGATTCCTATTGGGTAGGGAGGGGGACCACGGCGGGGAAGGAGGCAATTTGATGAAACAGATCCACAAAATATCAGGCTTCATTAGTGCTGCTGCTCACCAGAAGAACTTGTTTTTTGCGTTTAACCGTTCTTAAACTTAAGTGTGGTATGAATGGCATATACTATAGTGTACGACAGGAGAGTATCCATTCATCTTATGCTCAGTCATTCATAGCATTCTTCTCTCCAGTAAGGTTTTCACTTGTTTAAATATTCAGCTTCAAGATATAAAATATACTGCTCCATAGTTCACCCTAATATATACCATTTAATATACATTATATATGTATATATATATATATATAAAGTTTCTCATTAAAAGTAACAATAAAAAGTGCACATATTGAGCATGCACAGTCAGAGCTGTGCAGAACAGCCCAGTATTTCAAATAAATACAATACTTAATTTTATCAAAATATCATACAGCATGGTAACCATTTACAATTATTGCTCTAATAAAAGTGTTATCAAAGAGCACTTGTTGATCTCTTATACAATACCTTATTAATATCCCGGGATATTTAAACTGCAGCCTACGTCAGTTTAGATCCTGGAATTCCTCAAAATACTAAAAATTCCCCACTTAGTTCTAACAGCAATAAAAAATATTCCTGCTACCTGTCACACTGTATTGTCAGTACTTCATATTTGTGTATGTCTCACTTTCTATTGCAACCAAACATATATTGATGCTATGTTGTCCTCATAAACGATTGGTGCAAACAAAATGTTCTAAGCAAGTTTACTATACTTAATCGAAATAAAATGATTTCCATATAGTATTACTGTAACTAAAAAATTTTAAGATATAAATGTTCAACATTGCCTTCAGCTTTAACAATAGATGGAACAATTTAGCGTAATCGATCACGGGGATCTCAATTCTCAGATACTAGGGTTTTGACCCCTTCTAAATCTGACCCTTTCTAAAACTAAACAAATATATTTGAAAATAAAATACAAATGTCAACTAAAATGAACATAAAACAGCGAAAAGATGAAATAAATACAAAGATTGCACAAGTCAGGTGTAAACACTTCAATTTTCCACACAATATCCTTGAAGAGGTTGTAGCTTCTGAAATATAGATTCAGTGGCTGCTTTGAGGCAGTTTTGTCAGTCAATGAGCTTTTCTATAACACTGTGTTACCTCATCTTCCTTACGTATTGTCATGATTTGATCTTCCAGAGCTGAAAAAGCAGTAAATCAACATTATTTTCCCATCTCAGCTCTCCATTTACCAAAACTGCAATAGCACCTCATTTTTTCTTAAATAACTTTTACATGCCTTTATTTGTAACAGGAAAAGAAATTGGATAGATGTAGGAAAACACAACGGCCAACGTAACAGGCTAAGGGCTTTACGGTACAGGCTTGTGGAAACCAAGCTCCCTCATAATCTTGAAACAGTTTCCAGAGTTCACAGAGTTCAAATGGGTCTAGAACATAGAACCTGATAAGATAGTCCCCAAACACTCACAGACTGACACTGAGTAAGGCGAGTCATGGTAGTAAGGTTAAAAAGGTCAGTAAGGTTAAAAAGGTCTTCGTGTATTTGTATGTGCCTCTGTGTTTATGAGTTCTTCATAACTATTTGTACTAAATAAAGTAAGAAAGCCATAACAACACAAAAAAAATTCAAAGATGCTGCTTTGACAAATACATCACTACTCTTCTGACATGGCTTAAATTTCAGAAACACTGTCAAACAATAAATCCTCCAGTTAATACATTAAAGATTCATTAGGTTACAAAATACAATTCAACTAATATAACATCTTGAACACCACGGTGAGAGACGGTATATTTAGCAAGCAGTTACCTTTAGATTAAATCCAAGCAAGTCACTGATGACACCAGAAACAGCAGACAGGATGACAACTTGGGTGATATTATAAAGCAGTGGGTTCATTGTAAGCCCATATAACCTAAAGGGACTGTCCAGTTCCTAGTGATGGGAAGCAATGACACCATTAGAAACCACAAACTACACAAAGGATTTTTTTTTGCTTGTTTGTTCTTTTAAAGTCTCAGAAAAAGCATTTCTCCAATAAGCATTACTTACTCTCTTACTATAAGAGTAATACAGAATCATAAGTTGCCTCAAAATATCAAAATAACCTAAACAATGAGCAAACAGTCATAATGCTTCAGTGTTCAGAACTGATTACAGGCAATGCAGCTTTATATGCTTTTCATAGGGTCAAATTTATCCAAGTATTTAAAAAAAAAAAAAAAAAGTCATTGCCAATTTGACTGACTCATGCTTTTTGTAACATACCGTCATTTGCATTTCTTCTAATGATTAGATAGTAATGGAGTGTAACAGTTTACCAGCAACATTCACATTAACTAACTGACCCTGATAACAGTAATTTTTTATTTGTGTTACAGAAAGCAGTAAATTGCCTTAACCCACACTGGAGTTCACTGTGCTGCATGTCCTACACGTAAAAGGAGAACTCCATCCAATGATGTTCACAGTGTAAACAAGACAGACAAATTGCCATAAAACAGAACACATTACTAGCTCCACTGCAGAACAGCCAATGCCATCAGCTCTCATTAAACGTAGGTACAGAAAGCTCCTAAAAACAATGTTCTTTCATGCTTCCTCCCATTTTATATCATATTTTTGTTCAGGTATGTACTGAACTATAGTAGATAGTTTAGGAAGTCTTCAAGTCACAGCAAACGAAAACATTCGCCTATAAAACCAATGTGCAAGAAAACAGCCACTATGTTCACTGACTGCTGACTGATGTACCAAGTAACCCTTAACAAATTTGGAGGCTACCTGTCTAAGACCATCTTACCATTTTATTCATGTAGCCAGGAAAGTGGAAACCTAGTCCTGCTGGCCCCAAGACGCCATCTTTTTAGAAGTCCTTATAATTTTCCAGAAATCATCTTCAGTGTCAAAAGAGCTAACAGAACTTAAAACAAAATTTCCACAGTGATAGAAAGCTACCTTGTTACTATGAAGAATTAACAAAAACGCCTTCCCTAATGCAATTCCTTTCCTTTTGCATTAATTTTGAGAGTTAATTCTGGTGAAGACAGTCAGAAAAGGAAGACTAAGAAAAAAAACACTAATAACCACATAACTGCCAGTATTTTCCATTTTGTTAAATGGAAGTATCAACATATTATCCAAAATTATTAATCTGAAAAGTTAAACAAAGAGGACATTGCACCAATTCTGCAGTTCTTAGTAAGTGAATAAAGTCACCTAAACTTTTCTGGCCAAGAAACATGCCAAGTGAAGGAAGCTTAAAGGAGTTTCTAAATATGATAATGGATAAAGTTTAACAATTATCACTGCTTTGGTCACCTATGCTTTGTAGCTTTAAAATGCATCTTTGCCCTGCTTCTGCACTAAATCCTGGGTCTTGAACAAGGTTCTATAAAACTTGTTTTTAATTAAGAAGAATTTGAGAGCTAACTCTTCTCTCAGGAAAGGTGAGATCAGGTGAACAACCTATTCATTCAGATGTAATGTGGTATAAAATTCTGCTGCAAATACAAAAGATATAAAAGACAATTCTGAGAACAGCAGAGAATTTCTTTAGAGCAAAAACTTCCAGCTTGTGGACTCGTTTTACCAACTTGGGGAGTAAGAACACAGTAAATATATTTAATACAAAATATAATCTTAAATAAATGCTTGAAGGATCAAAAACATTCAAAACTAAAACAAGTCAACTCCATTTAGCTGCTGGGCATGAGATAAGCAAGTGCTCGAGCAACAGCTGCCAAGAATTCTTTCAAAGCTCATATTACGTGGCTTGTAAATCCTACTCAACTTTTGGGCACGCTCTCACAGTAAGTAAGGGAGGGCCTGAGTCTGGGGTTTGTGCCTTAAAATCTAAGGCTTATTTATATTGGAAAAGCCATGCCAGTTGATACATTTCTGAAAGGAGAAAAAACATGAAAAACATTTTTAAAATAGTGAAATACACTGCAGCAAATCAGACCAAGAGCCCATCACTGTCCTATTTTCAACAGCAGCTACTTCTCCCTCATCTGCAATTTTCCCAGCATACAAACATTTCATATCACGCCATATCCTTAATCTGCTGTAGTTTGTCTAGGTAGTAAGCTTTACTGAGGTCTAACTACTTGTCTAGTCTCTCACTGAATCCAGGCAAGCTTCTGGCATCCATAACATTCTTTGACAAACAGTTTCACAAATTTGCTACCTGCTGCACAAAGAACCACTCCCTTTTGCTTGTTTTGATACTGGGTCCTACAAGCTTTGTGGCCTCTCATCATTATATCAAGAGATAAAGTGAATATCTGTACTGACTTATCCAGGCTCTTCGTACCACCATAGCATATCTCTTCAGTCAAATATAAAATAAAATAAAAAAAGTTTTTCCATCAGGTAACCCTGAAGTAAGTTTTAGGAGTAGCGAATTTTTCTGGTCTGAAGGAGAACGAGACAGTTCTGGAACAGGAATTGAGCTCCCAGACTACTGAAAGATCGAAACAGCATTCTTCTCAAATTACAACCAGTCTGTGCATTTGAAGAACAGAAACACCTAGCAGAGGCAATTTAGGATCAAATGTGCCTTCCTGAGAAATGGAACCACTGCTTTGTTCAAATAATAATATTAAAGCCCTAAGCTTGTCAATGCACTAGCCCCGGATAAGTGGAAGAAAGACAATTCTTCTTCTAGAAGAAGAGTCCACCTTCCATCTTCTAGAAATGGGAAGTGATTAAAAAAAAAGTTCCCTCAACACACAGAAATTTTCTATCCACCAAATGCAGTTATTTGGCCAACAGGGTACTATTACATATGCAAAAAACTTTCCTACTAGTCAGTGAAACTCCATGCAAACATGCAAAAATATCTGCCCAATAGTTAAAGGACATACTTTGACTTAAATAGTTGTGATTACATTAGATGAAACGCAAATACCTTTCATTCATATATAAATGGACCTACGCAACAATCTTTACCTTCCAAAAGGATTCTTCTGTGACCGTAAGTAAAGACGACGTTAAGGACAACCTGATTTTATTTGAAACACTAACCACTAACAGCTTGTAAGAGGAATTATTTTTTGGAAGAATTCAAATCCTCTAGTTTACTACTAAAAACAGACAGTGTCTGAAAACAGACAACAAAACTGCACCATTTTTTCCTGGAAAGTTCATCATCCTGTCTATCCCAAATGATTTCTTCTCATTCTGCTCCTGTAGTCTTAAAGAATAAAATTTACTGTATTTGAAAATTATTTGCAATCCACAATGATAGCAACATAGCAGACAAGCATGCAAACAAATGCGTCACTGTGACGAGAAGAGTAGTAGACTTAAACCAAAGTATACTGTACTGCCTGCAGACGTAACACTAGTGACTTATTAAGCAATCCGTTTTACTTCTCAGTTATGTACAATACTGTAATATTATGTTAAATCTTACCTTCAGTAATTTAGTAGCAAGTTTTAAAACATTGTTCACTAGTGTCAGTTCCTCCTTCTTATTAGGCTTTTTCTCCATTTTCAAGTACAAGTTTATCTGATTTAAATAAAATGAGTATCACCACTTAGAATTAACAGGAATTCATTTGGAAACATTTAATAATAAGACTAAGTGATTACTCAGTAGACTTACGCTAGAACAGCACATTTCTGCAAATGAGCACATTTTTTGCTTTTTAATGTTAAACAACAAATACTAGCTCAATACTGCAGAAAATTGCAAAGTTCAATAATATAACAAATTACATTTGACACTATTACAGCAACAACTTTAAACTTTAACGTCACTTATCCACGAATCAGGCAAGAAAAACAAAAACAGGTGTTTAGGTGCAGGTGTCTGCATAATTTCTTTCTCCTTCTTTGATAATTGTCTGAGGTTTGTCAATTCGTTTCCAGAGGCTATTACACTACGGTGCGGACCTTACGGGCTTAACATTCCAAGAAATTACTGAATAGACTGAAATGATAAAACATAATTTTGCTAAAGTGTGTGCAAACATACATATCTACATATATACATATATATACGCACACACACACGTATGTATACATATACTTTACATTTTATATAGACTTTTATTTCATTAAAACATAAATTGTTATTATGTTATTAAAACATAGTATAATTTGAGTACTTCATGGACATCTTAAGCACAGAAAAAACAGCCTTTCAAGAATATTGAAAAATAATGAAAATGAAACTGCAGAAGTAACACAAGTGACTCATTAAGCAAACTGTTCTACTTCTTAAGTTATGTACAATACTGCAATACTATGTAAGAGAATAGCACATTGATCATTTCAATACTTGTGCATTCCAGACTTTCTTAGGCCACTGTCTCTGAGAAAGTTTAGACAAGAGCACAGATTAACTCTCTTTTGGCCTTCTAGTAATTCCGACGCCTCAACTTCATTCCAGAGTGACATATCTCTGCTATCCTAGGCTAGGCAAAGGTTGGCTATTTTTTAAATACATAATAAAAGTAAATCCAAAGAAAAATAGCTCAACTTTATAAGCTATGAGCTTTTTACTTTAAGATGACAGCCTTCCACAAAATAAAAAACGAGCAATTTAGCAGTACTTTGAAGTAGTCCTTCAGGCAGAGATTCTTACCAAGCTACAGCAGCAAAGTTACAGAAATAAAACGATGCTAAAAGAGTTCTGGGGTAACTTGGTTATTGAAATAAGGACAATGGACAGCTAAACAAAGTAACTTAATATTAAAAGTTTTCCCTGAAAAAGTCACTGTAATTTATACAACGAGGATAAAATTAAAATGGATGTCCAAAACATTCCAAGATACGTTGGGCTCCTGATTCCATTTTTAGAGGCCAAGGGATTCCAGACCTTACATACAAAACTACTGATTTCAGCAACATAAATGTCTAGAAACAGGAATAAACTAAGACTCTGAAAACTCTTAGCAACTCTGAAAAAGTGATAGCTAACAAACCTTAGGAAGGTTCACATCTCTTGACAGCTACATGATTTCATTCTTAGTTTATGAAAAAAAATGACAGTCATTCAACAGCATAGTTCAAAACATGAGGGGAGTCTGAATGTCTATACGCACAGGCATCTACTCTACTTATTTCAAAGTTGAACTTGGCAAGACGACAACTTTGATCAGAACATGCTCTGTGTTTTACACAAGGTAAAAAAATTCAGAAGGACTTGAAAAATTACAGGCAGATAGCATGCAGTTAAAAACTGCCGTAACCTAAAAATGATGGGTCTTCCCGTTTCCCAGCATGACTCTTAATCATTAAATTCCTAGGCTGAACCTAAAGCAGGAAGAAGCTGTTGGAATTCTGTTGACAGAAAGTAAAACTTGAAATTTGACCTTATCCATGGGGCTTGTTTAGGGTTTGTTTGTGTGGTTTTTGGTTTTGTTTTTTAAGCTATGCCAATTTTCCGTAAGCCTAATTCAGAAGACAACTTCTTTAAATGGCTACAGTGGCTTAAAATGTTCAGCCTTCAGCCTTACAAATTTTGGGTGAACTCAGTTTTACAGACGGCAGAATCTTATGGTTTAATTACAATGAACAAGCTCAAATACCTCATCCATTTAAGAGCTGATTCCCATGAACAGCATGCTATAGCGACCTATGAAAGCAAAACATAGGCTAGAAATTCTAATTTTTTTTTTTTCCAATCTGTTTCCCAAAATTCCCTTCTGCTTTTACTCCAGGAATAGAGGACATAAACTTCACTGCGACTTCAGATTATTTATATCCTGGGGATCCAGAGAACAATACAGACCTCTCCAATCTCAGGAAAACAGGGCTATGGAACGGGAGGATCACTCTAAACTGCACAGGAAACCCACTAGGTATGATGCACAAAGGCTATCCCAGTAACAGCTGCACTCCACAAACCAAAACCCTACATCTGCGGACATTGAAAAGTCAGACTGTCCATGGTTATAAACCAGTAACGGAAGACTGTATCTTGAGTGACAGCCTGCCCAAATCTTTCAACTTGATGGTAGTGGCCAGAAAAAGGGGAGAAGTTAGAGGCTCTGCCTTGCTATATAGCCAGAAAAGGGAACAGATAGGAAAGCAGGGAGTGAGTACGGACTGCCTACGATACAAGAGTCACCGTATTTACTGGAAGGCAAATGAGTTTCCCTTTGTGAAACTCTCTCCAGATTTTCACACTCCATATTAACCTTAATAAGCAAATAACCCTAAGGAAGAGAAATCAAGAACACCCAGTTAAAGAAACAGACATAAAAACAACTAACAGCCTGCTTCAGTTCTGAGGAGTAATGCTGCGCAAGAGAGTATCAAATCCATACAGTCAAAGTTTCAGATCAGTTTCTATTCTGCACATCTCCAGTGCCTGTACATTCACTCCTAGCTTAAATATCTATTCTGTTTGAGTGGAACTGAGCTACTTTTCAAGAATAATTTAAGCTAAGAACTTAAAATGAGAGCCAAAAAAGTACTAAATAGCACTAACATACCATATTACTTTCATGAGAAAAATTGAACAGCTGGGCTAGTCCTCAACTTGGAGTTGTTTAAGTAACAAAAATTACTTTTTGCCATTGAGTACAAAGAATCCACAGATGCAAAGGAACGGTTTCTGAATGTATCAAGGGTTAGGATTAAAAACAGAATAAAATGTGAGACTCTGCAACTTAAGTAAATGTCTTAATACTACTTTACCTTGCAAACTGGTAACTAAGCTAACTGGTGGTAACTAATACAAACCACAATATTTATGCTGAGTGCTGCTCACAGCACTTCCCATAATTTTCCATATGAATAAGAACCTTTCTTGTTGCTACCCTGCTTTGAATATCTTGAACATTTAAGGTCGTCCTCTAAGATCTCACTCCATCCCACCATACCCCCAACCTCAAGAGATTATGAGACCAGAAAAATCCTGCAGCACAAAAAGTTACGTCAGATGGGTATTGCGAAGCTTCATACAAATGTGATTTGTATTGCTTAAAGACTTTTTTAGCCATAACTTATTAATTTTCACCATAATGGACCTAAGCAGCAGAAACTTAAACTAGAAGAATCCTCACAGGTTGCCTACAGGAAACGTGTTCAAGTTGGAGAACAAAATCTTCCATACAGACTCTGAAGCCCGTGACAGATAGCGTAGATGACCGCTTACACATTTTGCTCAACAGGAACTCATTCTACTTTTACTGAAGACAATGAAGATGGGCAGTGAGAAGGGCTGCCTGTTTACCGTATCCTGGATGCTGTGTTTCACACCAGCGTGAATCCTCTCAAAGCAGAAAGGGATTGCTTCTTACCTGCTTAACCAAACATGTTTAGCTTGGAAAACTATCACCAGTACCAGGCAGAGCAGAAAGGGAGTTTGCAGCATAAATGCAGACTAGAACACACCTGAGAAGAAAAGTAGACCCAAAGCCAAGCTCGGCAGATGACTGAAGGGAGACAGCTATCCAAGGAATCCAGGAGACTATAGAGAAGCCATGTAACCTAGCAGTCAAAATCGCCACACTGGAAAAAGTGACCCACTCTGTAGAGGGTAAGTTTGTTTTCAAATCTTTTTACTGTCTCTTCCAACAGTTTGAGTTCGGTGTTTTTTCCCCCTTATTAAAAGCTGCCTTCTATGTTTATGCCCTCTTAGAGCTTTAATTATATCATTTGACACACACTGGTATCTCTAAGCATGCTCTCTTAAAGAGAAAATGGGTTGTGGCCATCTTAGTGTTCAATGAGGCTTTTAAGCGGTCGCACACGCGTTTTACAGAACCTTGAGCAGCATAATCTTGAATAACTTGTTTCACTACACCATACTTAACTCCCTAATCCAGACTACGTTAATGTATCCGAAATGCATGTTTAAGGTCTACTAGATAAAACCAATTGTTTAGATAGAAACACACAAGTCTGTACAGACTCTCACCTGCTCAGTAAGTAATATTGAGGTATTGCTGTATTTTTTACTGGTTTCAGATCCAAGAGTAACAAATCTTAAGAGAAAAAGAGTGAGTGAAATGCACCAAATTACTAGCTCCCAATTGTAGTGACAGTCAAGGAAGATCTCATGCATGTGAAGTAGCTGAAAGTAAAAGAGAAAAAAAAACAAATTTAATTCAGAGTAATATTTACGTAACAACATGAAAAAAGTTATATATCATCCAACTCCAAGGAAAAATTCCCTAGTAATATACTTATTGACGGTTATTTTTAGGCATAACAGATTTTTGAAGTATACTTTTAAAAAAAATCAATATTCTGTTAAAGATAAGCTTTTCCTAGGAACGTTATCAGGTTTGAGAAAAGGTATACTCTGAAAGGCACAAAAGGAGTTTAGGCACACATCATCTTTTCCATATCCCTACAGCAATAGAAAGAAAATACGCATTCAAAGACAACTTTAAACTCAAGTTCAAACTTGTGAAAACATTGCATGGAATGAAAAACAAAACACATCTTCACATGGACTGATTTATATGGAAAATTGAATCCAAGTAGAACCATTACTCAATTATAGTCTTATTAAAATATTTATAGTTAGTTATCAAAAAACACATTAGCATTAACTGGGGAAGGAAGTGGAAAAAAATACAACCAGAAGTCATTCACAAGCTTCCCTGTACGCCGAAACAGAAGCTCAAGCAAACAATCTTAAGTATTGAAATGCTACTTAAGCAAAAGTTTCCTTACTACAAGATATTCCACTAGAGGGCAGGCTAATACAGCCAACAACCTTGTTCCCTACTTTTCACAAGTAAATCATCAGCCAAGGTCAATCTCAAGTTTCGTATTTCTGAGGGACTGCAAAAGTAGGTTTTGATGCAAAATGTTAAAAAAATCAGTATTTTCCAAAATTCAAGATGGACAATGAACGAGAATACAAATTAGAAAAATAATAGCACCACACCAGTAATTATTCTGTCAATGGTTTTCTTAAGCTTTTACAGAGTGGCTAACATAATACTCTAAAATAGGTAAAGCAAACAATATAAATGGAACTTCATCTTCTGAGAAGCTCTAACAGTTGCTACCGATTTTCACTGTGGTCCTTTGCCCTAATTGGAATCATCATGCAAAAGGCTGTCTACAATTTCAAAAGGTATTTAAGTCTTGGCTGTTTCTATGCAATTAAGATTTCCTCACCTGCGCACAACAGATAAATACAACCGAGATGGTCAGTAGGAAGGCAGATGAAACTATTACATCAACTGAGCGTTGAGGACCTCGACGCTGAAAATAAAGACGTACATATGTCAGTGAAAAACTACCTAGTCAGCATTGTTATTTGGTGGATCCAGTTGGATTCCCATCTGGAACACAGTTTCATCTTGGCTTGCAATTTTGTAATCCAAGTTCCGAACGTCATATTAGAATCCGATAATGTAACTACATTTGAAAACCCTCAAAGGAATATAAGATTAATTCAAGCATACATATCTCAAGGAAACTACAAGAAAAGAAAACATTCATCACTTAGCAAAGGACCTAACTGAACAGGTTAAGTGAAGTAGTTTACATTTAGATAGTTTCTGACAGAACAAATTCAGCATGGCATTGGGCCTTACCAAGTATCGAACTAGTGCTAACAAAAGATTTTGGACAGCATATTGCAATAGGATATCAAGATACGATTTCACACGGAAGTTATTTTTCATTGCTTGCATCGTTACGATGAAAAAAAAAAAAACCTTAGTTGTAAACTACAGTCTCCTCGTGGTAGGTGTAGTCAGAACCCAACTCTCTCATACATGAGAATTATCACAGAGCAAGAGGGAAACTGCAGAACCAGCTGACTGTCTTGAGAAGTGCAACCTCACTGTTTTCAACCATCTTTTCCTCACTTACTGGCACAATCAATTTTTCTGCCCATTGAGTTTTTTTCCCCCTCAGTTGTTTTTCTTAAAAAAACTAAACATTCTCGGCTGCACTAAAACATGGATAAGCTACAACATACATTTCTACTTCCCATCTTTGTCCTCTGGAGGTGTTACTGTCTAATTGCGTAAATATGAGAATAAGAGGTCTACATTCACAAGGTATAATCATGACTCAAAATATACGTAGAGAAAGAGATCATTAAGCTTAATTACCAAAAAAATTTAAGTGCAAATTTGTACTAATGGTAGGCATGCACTGCTTACATTGAGCCAGTGTTTTGCCTGTGTGAGGCTCAAGATGCGTGCATACGCCAGCTCACATCTTCACAGATGGATACAGGTGTATATATGGAGAGACACAAACACACATACACATACCTACACACACACACATATAATAAAAATATGTATGTGTATATACATATATGACGGTAACGGACTGTTCTCAGCCACCGAATCCTGAAGAACATCAGGACTGAGAATAAAGGTAGGAACTGAATATTCATGTGCACAACCCATCCTAAAGAAAACCAATTACTGAATTTGTTGTTGTCTTTGAAAGGTAATCTGCAGGCACATTTTCGATAAATGCTAAACAAGTACATGTCAGCACCACCATTAAGAGAAGAGGGTCTTGTTCCCTAGCTGCTTGTCCCCACTCCTTTCCTTGCACTAGGCACAAGCGTTTACACAATTACTGCCCAGTGAATCCAGTAAAGCACCAGATGGAGGTGAAAATCACTATTCTCGACAAGTTATTTTTCAGTTTGATCAGTTCCCTACACACCTGTTTCTGACCTCTGTTACACAGGGTCTGATACAGCTGTTGTTTTGTTCACCACAACTATACATACGTTTGTGGTGGCATTAGAAGAGGAGATAAAATTCACACGTGCAGTTGTGGGGAAAGCAGGCAAGACACTCAATAGCAGTGCTAGCATATGTAGTTTTAAGTGTCAGAACTACATTCTCACGTAGTTGTTGCCTAAGTGGTGTTACCTTTCTTTACTCCCACCCAACACGTTACAGATTACACAGAAAAAGATGAGAGTCTCTCAAGTGCGATGGTTAAAGGGCACCTCTTTTTACAACCTCCCCAACAGACACTTCTGTAACACAAGGGGTGTGGTAGCCTCGAGGCTTGTAAATACATTGCCTAAATTCCCCTTGGAATAATGTAATCTTTCAAATTTAATTTGAGGCTTTACATTAAAAACTTCATCTGCGTATAGCTTCCTGCCTTCCGCACTAGGCAAAAACCTAGGAAAAAACCTAGTTTCATCTGAGTTTAGAGAAGCTCATTCCACCCCTTCAGGATTAACATCTTTAAAAAAAAACCACCTAGAGAGAACATGCTACTATTACCCTAACTTGGAAGTGAAGCCTGTCCAGTAATAGTAGAAACTATTAGAAAGTGGAAAGGAGGGATGCTAGAAAGTAGAGAAGCCTAGACAAAGAGAGACAATGAAATACATGGTGGTAGGTCATCCTCAGAATTTCATGATTAACAGGTGAGATAATCTATTGTATTGTAACTCTAGTCTGTAAAAACACACCACCTTTACCATTTCTATCATTTATATTTCTAAAATAAGTACCTGCCCTACAGCCGTGAAGAATTAATTATTCTTAAAATATTCACTGATGACATAGCACTTGGTAAAAGATATGAACAAAACCATAGGAAACCACTCTACAAACAACTGAAATGGAGACATTTTTAGTCTACCAATGCAAATTAAGTTCTGTAAAGCAGGTCACTTTCTTGGTTTTGTAATAGTTCTCAACAGGGCCAGTTACCCAGTTACAATCTCTGTATGAATACGGTTATGCCTTTGCTCCTTCATTTAGTGAAGCTGTTTCAAAGACTGTTTGAGTGACTTGATCTATGCAGGTAGGTAACGAAAACCCATTTAACATCTAACAAGAAGAAATGGCCATGCGCTGAGATAAAAGGCTTGGGGGAAAAACAGGAGGATTAGTCAACTGAGGTGAATCTCAGACACAACTTTGCGTAACACTTTGTGATAGGGCCCGTGACAGATTGGACAACAACAAAATTACACTAACCCCCTGAACCTCTCTAACGACCAAACCTGAATGATATTCATTGTAAAGGGCTTCCCAGAAGACTGAAAAGATGAGATGGCTGCAGAGTTTCAGTCAGTTATCCTGTTAACATCACGAGCAGTACGTTCAGATCCCACTGAAAGGCAGGACCCTGCAGTAGAATAGTTCACCAGAACATCTGAAGATGTGGAGAATGTACAATTTCTCCATGGCACAAAAGGTAGCAAATGTCATCAGCTGTTTTTGTGATACACCATTATAAGAAGAGTACAGTTTAAAAAGTAATTGTTGTAGAAAAATCACTTGCTTTCTTCTAGGTAAAAATAAAAGTGGGTTTTTTTTTTTTGGGGGGGGGATTGTTTGCTTTTAAGATAACAGTGAAGAGTAAGTCAAAGGCTTAATGACAGAATGCCATGATGCAGGCACTCAGTTGAATCATCTAACACAGCAGAGAGAAAAAGGGGGAACAACTTTGCAAGCAAAGAAAGAGAGAGAGAACACAAGCTTTTCACAAAGGACTGTCAGAATGCTCTGGCTTGAAAAGGACATTTGAGAGATGCAATAATATATTCACTCATATGATATATGAGTTGAGCATACAGTAGAGAAATTGCAGTTGTGGATTAATACAAAAGAACATCTTATGGATACGAACCGGGTGCAACTTCTAGCTTCCTGTGGCATATGTGCACTCACAGTACAAATATTCATTCAAATTATCTTGCTTCATAAATTCCTGTGTTAATGATACTAACTGGTGGGGCTCTTAAGATACCAAGTTTTACACTACAAGTGGGCAGGCATTTACCCAACCTGAGAGACTTTTCTGCTAATATTAGTCATACCAGACCAATACAATTCATGTTTTATACCATGGGAAAAACTAGACATTGACCTTTTCATAATCTAGCTGCCACAGATGCTGTTGGCCAAGAGTCATCAAAATCAAGCGTATAGGGTACACGTGCACCAATAACGATAAGTGTACCTGGGGAAAAATGCAGAACAGAATACAAACTTGCCAATAATAGGATATCGGATATTTTACATGACGGGCTAGGAAGAAGTATATATACCTTTAGATAGGACCTGAGAGAAAGCCACATTTTTATATTTTGTACTTTCTTCAAACGGAAGTGAGGAACCTCCGATTTTCTTGCCCTTCTGGCAGATGTTAGATGACCAAAAAGTTTGGCAAAAAGAAGTCTCTGTGAAGAAAAAAATGAAAATGACTTTAACTGTTATTTGATTTCCCAAGGCACTAAAAAACATGGAGAACAGGCTTTATTTAATACAAAGTAATGTATAATGTATTAATGTAAAGTAAAATATGTTAACATAGTGCAGAAACAGAAGTAGTGTGTTACTAGAAAGAGGATATACACTAAAAAGTTGTAAAAGTCCTCCTCTTTGACTGAAGAGAAAAAAATGCAGCCAAAGTTCATTTCTTCAAATCTCAGACTTTACAGATCTGCCAAGGTCTTAGAACTCGGGAAAGAAGCAAACCTGCCAACCATTCACACATAAGTGCCTTTACCACAGAAGTTCCTCCCAGAGACCATTCTTAGAAGCAGGCTAAATCTGTTCTACTGTCTTAAATCACATGTTTTGGCCATAATTTGAGAAAAGAAAGCAATTTCTCCCTTGCAGACCAGCGAACACCTATACTTTGCAGCTATTCAGGGAAACTGATACTCTTCTGAAAGTTTAATTGCAAATAACAAGCAATAAAGTAACAAGTACATTACTTCAGTTAGAAGTTCTCTCAGTCTCCAGCCCTGGGACAGATGCGCTAGCAAAGCAGAAAGGGCTTGGCTAAGGTCTAGACTGAACTGTTTTGAACTGAAAGCAAACTGTTTTGAAAGAAATATATTGTTGGAACAAACTGGAAATTTATAGAGCTCTTTTACTGAAACACTTTCTCCCCCTGGAGAACTGAGACAACTTAGGACAGGATTAGGAGCTGGTCAACAAGTTGAGCCAGAAATCTGAAATAAGAGCATGCAAGTTTTCCCTCAGAAATCTCCAGAAAAAAGCTTTAGCAACTGAGACTGTAGAAAACTTCAGTCTGTTGCAACTGAATAACCCTCTTAACTGCAAACCCACTAAAGTATTTGTCATAATTGATCTATAAACCTCAGCACAATGAAAAATACACGTTTAAAATATTCACAAATCAACAAAACTCAAACATAATCATTTGTTTTGCTTTGGATGAGACCTCTTCACTTGTCATACATACCTGTTTGTACGTTCTCTCTGCCACACACAGCAGGAAAAAGAAAATCCACACTAGAGAGACACGGACTACAAAACTTATAATAACCATTGAGAGAACCAGTATGTCTCCATTTGATCCAAATGCAATAACACAGAGTTCAGTGGCAGAATGCGTAGCTAGTTGTTCCAAATCTTTAGCTTGGGAAAGTCGAAATACAAATGGCATTAAACCCAAGATTAAAGATACAACTTTTCCAAAAATCTGGTAACCAATTCCTGGTATGTAGTTGTTCACCTAGAAACAAAAAAAGTTGTATTTTTAATTTTGCAGTAAATCTTGTCCATATTGGTGTTGCTGCTTTACTGTCAAAAAGATCACTTTATAACCTTACCCGACATTTTCAATCAAGCGTGTTCACAATTTGCTTCTAAGAAAAAGGAAGTCCTCACACAAGGATTAAACTAAAGATAGTAACGCAGAACGAAGTAAGAGCGCTTAAAACACAGCAAACAGGTATCATAAATCATTAAAAACCCAATAACGCAACACCGCAGTAATAATACTCCAGTGTAGACTCTTATATAAAAAATGCATTCAATACTGAATTAACAAAGAGCATCAGTCATTCTGACTGCAGTCATTATCCCCTAAATCTCACTCCTATTTGTGTTTTGCTTTTAGGTTGTACGCTTTTTGAAGGAATTATGCCTGCCAAAGTGTTTATAGAGCAGGTAGGAGCGCAGGTCCATTGTGCTGGCTGTACCTTTATTAGAATTTACTTCCGTTGCCATTGCACCCAGACCGTACCATCTCCGAGTCAGGTAGAGAGCGCTGCACTAAGTTTGTGAACATAATACAGCCTTCTAACAGTCCGGAGAAAAGAAGCATCACTTTGTAAGAACTCCTGATAGTTCTCTTAAGCTATGCTACGATTTTGCATTCAACCCTACAAGATGTCTGCTCAGTCTATATTGAAATATAATATAATATCAACTAAATGCTTTTCCATTCCCTTCCTCAGGAGAAGTACTTGGAAAAATTACTAGGATAGGGAAGAAGGAAGTCAGACATCCTGCTGCTTCTCTTAGATGTTTGCTTCCCAGAGTGAAAAGCCTTCTTATCCAAATACTCACATCTGTGTTTCTGATATATTTCTAACCTAACATATTAGCAGTTCATAGGAGTTGAGGGGACAAATAAAATTCATGGAATACACTACTTCTGAATGATAAAATAAAGGTTGGCTACATTAGTAAGTACTTAACAATGCAAACATATCTTATTGTCCTACCACTTCAAATTTGGTAGTTCTTGTAATTAACTTCTGGTACAAAGAAATCAGAGTGGTGTATGCCATGGAACAATAATGCTAATACTTTTTAAAAAGTTATTTTCGGCAGTGTTTAGACTCTTAAATATAACATTTGCATAAAGTGAAAAAGATACTCACTCTGTTCATTATCATGCCACTGATTTCAAGCACAGACATATCTGCTTTCTTGCAGTCATTACCCTCCCACACAATTGCGCTTATTTTTTCTAGTCCTGGATTCAGACTATGGATCCAGGGCAAGTGACTCTAGGGAAGACAAGGAATATATTCCATCAGCAATAAACATCTACTCTTGCGTCAATATTTCTTTGTCAGCAATATACTGACAGAAAAGCGTTTAGGCTGACGTTAACATTGTTATGCAGCATTTACTTCTACCATATGTTATGACACATTCTACAAACATGGAACAGAATTTCTGTTTATGGAGAGAGAAGGTGGTGGTGGTGGGGGGGGGGGGAATTACATTCCTTATCACACTATGTTTTTGCCCTACAACATTCCTCAAAATCAATCATTCTTTTCAAAGAAATAGTTGTACAGAAACAGAGTAGAGAGATCCCTCTTTCCTCATACTGCTTCTACTAGTCTCCAGTTATTGTCGCTGACGTTAATTGTCTACTTTTTTCCTCAAACATATCACAGAAGAGGGAAATATGAAAACAAAGACCTACTTATAAGCCATCTTTAATTTCACCACATATTTAATGGAATACTTCATTTTCTGATTAATTTTTTCCTAACAGTTCAAAAATACTCCTCTTAGGCTAAGCCTAGGGGCAACTTTATTTTTTTAAATAAAAGATCCTTATTCTAGATAAAGGCGCTCTATGCTAACTATATCTGGCAAAACTCAGGCAGAGCAGTAGGAGTCTGATCAACGTATTTATTAGTTGTAGAGAGGTCGTCTTAATTATAGATTTCCAATGTCTCCCTCTAGAGGGAGTAGCAACACCAGGAGCTGAAACTCAAAAATTCACAGCCTAGAATGAAACAAAAAACACAATCGCAGAAAACCAAATTCAGTGAACATACTGCAATTCAACTCCCTGTTCTAAGAACTCCCATTTAAGTGTCTCTATGGAATATGAGCAAAAAGAACTAAAAATAAACCAAAAAAGCAACCAGTGCGTGAAATCTAAATTGCTACCTGTTTTTAATCAACAAAAAATATCATTTTAAGTACAGGTTGTGAGCAAAAAAACCAAACTTGTCTTCTGAGAATTTTTCTTAGTTAGCATTAACACTATTTCTTACAATACATTCCTTAATACTGATGTGTGCACTACCAACATTTATTATATGTTTGGCCAGAAGAAAGTTTAATATTCTCATTTAAACAGTTCAAATAAACAAGAAGCATGCACGTCAAAGATAAGACTTGCATTACAAATATTCCTGGCACTGACCAACATTGGCATGGATTCTACCAAATGCAGACCAATACTTGATTATTAATAATCAAGTATTAACAATAGATTCTGTCTAACACTAATCTGAGACAGGCTGCAACTGAAGTAATGCCCAAACATTAACATTTTCAGAAATGACTGCATATATATTGCTACTGAACAGCATTAAAGAAAAAAAGTAAAATGATTAGCTTTAAGGTAAAAATACATTATCTTTAAATAAGCTTATACTTGCTTTTAAATATGTATGTACGTATATACTTGTATATAAAAAGAAAAGTTTGAAACATGCTTACAGAAAGATAATTCTGCTAGAAAAAAAAAAAAGAACATCTACAACACAGGAAGCATAAATCAATCAGCATCTGTCCTGAATTAGAACTAAGATTCAAATACTGAAATACTCTGCAGGCTATTTCAGTATATTGTCTATGCTCTTCATTTGACAAACTAAGGACTGAATAGTAGAAATCAAGTTTTCCTTGTTTTAATTCAAGTATCAAATCACTTCGGCTTTATTACTTTCATTTAACACAAAGTTATTTTTCACAGGCCTCCTGAACCTATGATGATAAAGCTGATTAGACTGGAAACATGTGTATTGTAAAAATCAGAATTAGCGGATATCAACCTGATGAAATGGGTCATCTCTATATTCTTTCTTCACACATGGATTCACTTGAGGGCTTTCTACATCTGTCTCGCTGGTACAGGAAGAGTGGCATTCGGCACAGTGTAAAAGGTCCTCCCACAGCACATCTTCAGTTTCCGACTCCGGCCTTGCACTCTCAGAATCTTGTCTGGAACTTGAACACCGAGAACTGCAACTAGTACCTGATTTAGGTGTATCCTGAAATTAAAATATGCATTGCTATTAATGCAGCTTTTGTACTCTACATTCTTTAAGAGGCCAGTTATAAAGTTCAAATAGAGTGAACCCATGTTTATCTATTTTTTCTGTTCCAATCCATTATCTTTTGAATCAGAAAGTATCACGTGCTTATTAAAGGAGTACCTAAGAAAGAGGCTGCACATTGTTAGACACTATATAAACATGTGATAGACTGTGGTCCCTGACCTGTTGAGGAAGGGTCATATAATGAAGAATCAAATGACATAACTATTAAAAGGAAACCAGTATTTTTCAGATTTCTAAAACTTATTAGTTCAGACTTCAACAGTAATCAATCTAGCCACAGAATCCAAGTATGTCCCAAATGTCTGATTTTATATGGTATAAATTAAGTTTTTTAAAAATTCATTAGAGCTTCATTCTGTGGTTTCAGCTGAACTACTTAGGTACTAATCAAAACATCTTTCTTTGCTTAGTGTAGGTTTTAAATAAATTCACAAAGAAAATTAAATTCAGAAAAGGAGAACAACTTGGATGAAAGCAACATTATGGGATGTAGGGGACAGAGTTGCTGTTATCTCTTCAGCTCCATCCACAGAAATTGAGACTAGATGGAACCAAATCCTAAGTACAGTGACACCACAAAAAGGCTTTGCCAATTGTGCTTGCTTCAATTGTAAAGTCTGCTGGATTCTGTACGATGCGTATTGTTCAACTCACTACTCACCATACGATAAAGTATTCTTTCTCTAAGGCCAAGGTCTTGAAAAAAGAAGGGACAGATTTCTAATCATCCAAGGACTGAGGCCCTGAAATAACCTTCCAAATAAGCAGTGTGGTCATGCATCTAACTAGTTTTAAAAGAAAGTTCGATATGTTCCAGAATGACATTTACAAATTAACAGCCTATTGTAACAGGGGAGTTGACTCTCATAGTCCCCTATAACTTATGTTCTCCCTATTGCTTCTACTAACATACCTTCACAAAGCCAAAGACTGAGTGAGCTTGTTTGAAGACAGGAATACCTCAGGTGTGGAGAGAAAAAATAAACAAGAGTATACGTACCCAATACTTGGTATACATTTAATCTACATATTCATACGTAACAACTTAATTGTTTCTTTTAATGAAGTGTAATTGAGAAGCAAGTGTGTTTTCTTATGTTCAAATTTTACCCACATCTTTGATAATCCTAGAGAAAAATATCAAGTTCGGGGCATTCAAACCCCTCCACACTTTATACACACACAGATACACACACACACACACACAGATATACACACACACACACACAGATATACACACACACACACAGATATACACAGAGATATAAATCTAATGTTCTCTTCAAAAGAAGAATGCAGAGCCTTGAACTTGTTGCCAGAATCAAGCGGTTTCCTTCAAGACTGGTAAATAGCCTTAAAAGCAGTACCCTCCTACTCATCACCAACTTCTGGCAATTCTCATTCCCTCTTAAAGCAAAATTTATTTCTTACATCTTCTTTCAAGAATGTACTCACTTTTCTACACTCGAAAAAAATCAAATCAAAAAATTTTAGCAGGACTAATAGTTTGGTATGATCTGTAATGTACTTCTACTTGAAGAAGAGTTCTTTTTCCTTGCTAAAAATTATCCTTAATTTATCTTCTGTGGGCAATATTGTAAAGAAATATTTAGAAGTTATCTGCTCTGAACTCTAGCCCTTCCTCTCACAAAGTGAGAGATAGCATTAATGCAGAAACACAGTATATGAACTATCTTCTGTTCTTAAAAATAATAACTAAAACAGTCAAGGATTCTTTTACAAAACACAGTCGTTACAGGGTATCATTGAGTCCTGAAGTGAATAAGAACCATGAAAATGGTTGCTAAAACAACAATTAAGTTGACGAATAAACATTCAGATAAAGGAAAATGTAGGACAGAAGTTGGGAGCACATCCACTGACTTCACTAAAAATATATATATTATTTTAAACCCAAAGAAAGCTTTCACAGATTTGAAAACTGTTTCATCTGCCTTGTAGATATGTGGGGGAGGAGAGTTGGTAACAACGAACGAAGGCTTCCTCTTTATGGCATCAGACAGACAAGCAAATGAGTAACATGTGTAAAGTATTACTGCCAAAGCTACTCATAGAGCCAACGTAGTCTCTTTGGTTTCTCAGGAGTTGTACACACTCTTCCTTAGCCAACGTCTTTAGAGTTTTCAAGCTCTAAAATACTCTATGCAAGAGAAAATATATTTAAGCTGGAAAAAATGTGACTGTATTTGTTGCTTTCTGTTTCTTCTTGTCAAATCCTAGCAGCTGCACAAGTGTGCAGCCAAAAGACATCTGCTGTAAGATGGAACTGAAACGTTTCTCAGTATCTACCTGCTAAGACAGTGGTCTTAAACTAAACATGCATAAGGCACAGAACATTTAAAAGTTAGCCTTCAAGATCTTTCTTACTGGAGCTTGTATGAAACAAATGAAAGAATAAAAGCAGAAAATAATTACGTTTCTATGCAAAGCACAAATCCCAATGCTTTGTAGTTACTACCACAGAAAGCAGTATGATTTGGACCTTCTAGGAAGGGGTTTATCAAGCAGAAGGCTTATTTAGCAGACTCTATTAAACTCATCTGTGGAGTTTAGTTAGTGGAGTCTAGGCAGAGCTGTAATTACTCTTTACATTCTTTTCCCACAGTCCTAGAAGAAAAATTGGCAGAAATAGCCTGCTCAAAAAAAAAAAAAAGGTTCTGTTAGGTTGAATACCATTAGCAAAAAGGGTGCACGCTTCTTAAAATAGGAAAAAAAAAAATCTGTTTTTCTTTTAATGTTCGAGTATCCCTATTCTTAGCTTTGATGTCATTTAGTCCCTTAAAATTTCGGTATTTTTGTGGTCTTTCTGCAATACAATAAGAACAACACTTTTGTTCAGATTTCATAGCAATACTTCAAATGACTGTTTTAATAAACATGAAGGAATGAAAATTTAGAGGTATAGTCAATCTCTTCCACTGAGATTTCTCTTCAACAAAGCTACTGGATCTGAAATACAAACTGAATGGACACCAAAGAATAAGCACTAGCATCAAGGAAATCTGAAATCACAGAAATACATTGCCAATTATCAGATTGCCAAAGAGAGAGAGAGAGAGAGAGAGAGAGAGAGAGAGAAGTCTCTTTCCTAATATGAAGCCAAAACAAGTTTCCAGAGGAAATAACTAGTGTCAAAAGACAGCAATAGTTATCCGTGTTCTGATGGGAGATCTAAAGAAGATATTTTAGAACCCTTACAACAAATGGAAAGAATGAAGCTCAAAGCAACTAAATTAAAAAAAAAAAAATCAAAACACTGCCATTTGAAATAAAACCCCTTTCCCCATTAGCATGATTTCCAATTAACAGACTCCTAAAAATCAATAAAGGAGATAAAAGATTGAGCGGAAAAAAAAAACAGATGCAAAGAGAGATCAACAGGTTTTAACAATTTACAGAAAAGCAGCAACGGAAAAGAACATACCTCCAAAGAATAGTGTTTCTTATAATGGTGAGATTTCCTGTTTCGAACTGTGCAATCACTAGAAGTGCGCTCTACATGGCGCCGTAAAGAATATCCAGTTTCAGGTCCTTCCTCACTAGAAACTTCGTCTGATAAATTTGTTACTATCCTGTGAGTATCCTAGTTCAAACAATACAGTATTAATAAAGACATGCACTGATACTAAGTCTTGTTCTGAAATATTGAAACCATATTTCTCTCTGCAACATTATCAATACTCATTTGAACTAAAAATTAATGCATTTTCAATGCTAAAAAGTAAGTACTACAGCAAGTTTTATAAAATAGAAATCGAAATTTCAAAATAAGCATTTCTCAGAGAAGGAAGGGTAGTTCATATTGCACTAAAGAACATTCATACTTTAAATGCGATTTTGTTTAAACAAAAGCTACCCAGGAAAGAGCTATAAGCAATACATCCAGAAGACTGAAAATACAAAATTCTGATAGTAGACACCATAACATTTAATTATCAGCACAAACAGTACAAAGTTAATGCGTGTACCTCCTCTTCCAACTATAACATGCTACAGATAGCTTGTAAAATACTCAGATTGCAAATTTATCCCGCTTTCCTTTTCCCCAATTTAAGCTAGAACAAAAGCAGCGCTTATAGCAAGGGGAAGAAGACAGGGCAGCAAGACTCTTTCAGCTGTCAAAACCTTTTCATACATTTTCACTTTTTAAATAAAAATATGTGATCACAAAATAGGATGCCATGAATTTTCCTTTGGAATCTTCCTGTCATCAGTAAAATGCTACAAGGACAGAAGAAGTGAGGCTATTATCTACAGACACAGAACCTTTTTCCCTGCAAATTGGGCATCATTCTCTCTTCCATGACAAACACCATCTTCTGATCAGGATGGTCACAGTCAGGTTGTTTGTTTCTTCAACAGTTGAGTTGTATAAGGAAAGAGTAACACACAGAACAGCCCGTGGTGTCTTATCTACCACATTTTGCAGTACTGACAAAATATGTTGTCCTTTGGAGGAATGGATGAGAAGAACGAGAGAAGAGAGGAGCCTATTCTAGCCTCTGCCAACTTCTCTTTGAGGTAGGTGTGTACACCGCATGCAAATTAAACACAAACAACATCTCATTCGTTCTATTAAATTTAAAACACTTTTTAAAACAAACTTTCTTTTAATCATTGGTTTACTGAATTTTGTCAAGAATGCAAAATGCTTGGAAGTGACAGAGAAAACTGCATCTCAGTGACAATCACTGCTGAAGGAACATCTGCATGGCAACAGTGAAGGAAGCTTTTGTCATCAGTGGAACCTTTATCACTACCATTCTGACTTAATGACACGGATCTTCAAGGGCTTGGTAAATAGTTTAGCTATTGAATCGCACATGCAGTGCCTTTCTTGAATAAAACTGTGAACCTGTAGATCTGGAGTAGAATAATCTTCTCCTTTGATATTATCTTGAAAAAAATCGATCATTGATTGTAGTAAATGTTAGTGAGCCAGAGCCAAGTATAACAGCTGTAATGGCAGTCAATATATGTTCAACTGCCAATGATAAGGAAACAAAAAAAAAGTTATCTTGGAAAAGATATTTTGTAGAAAAGTAAGATGAAAATAGGATAGCCAGGAAACAACTAGATCCAACCAATCAAAATGTTCTGCTTTCTTTCATCACCGTTTTCTCTACCTCTTCCATCTTTCCCACTATAGGGAGCCATCCCTATCTCACTGAGAGGGAAATTGTGCTTTCCTCATCTTCTACAGAGATCAGCCAAAACAAAAGAAGGGAATCGGCAGATGATTCACATATGTTGCTGTTAACTAGGGAATTGGAACCCACCCCCTTTCCCGCCCCATGCAGTGTTTTGATTTCAGCCAGAAGACACCTCCCCTAAAAACCGTATTCTTTTTTTACTGAAATACCACATGCAAATTTGGTGGTATGCCTGTAAAGAAGAGACTTTTGAAGGGGCAAGTGAAAGCAGAGCCTAGGAATTCAGGGTGAAATAAGACGACTTAAGAACATCACTTTGGTCCCAGCACCACAAGCTTACTTTAATTTTGAAAGCATCTTATGTATAAAATAAATGAGAATCCATCAAAAGCACCATAAATATACAACAAATATATAACTTAATAAACTAATAAACTTGTTTTGAAAGAAATGATGCACACTTACTTTGTGATGACTATGACTGTTGAACGTATTTTTTACTGTTGCAGTGCTCCACCCTGACTCTTCTGGCTTAATCACTTCACAGTGATGCCCATGGGCCTGTATGCATTCTTCATTGCTTCTACCTGGCTTTTTCCCATCAAGGGAGACATAGCCGTTATCAGTCTCTGTTGATTTATCTATTGAGTTCTTTGCTTTCTTAGATCTATATTTGAAACAAATACAGATATGCAATTAATGAATCTTTCAAGGTTTTTTCCAGTCTAAATCCTGTTTACCCTCCTCCACCCATGTTTTAGTTTTACTGTTAAAATGAAGTCAAACTAATAAACAAAACTAACACTCAATCGAATATTTGCAACTTTTCCATCTTCCAGATAACGTCCACTATTTTTTCCTAAAATTGACGTGAAACGAAACGAAGAAAATTATATAATTAGTGACTGAAAGAAGAGAACAGGAAACCTGTATTTCAAAATTAAAATTTCATCACAACCCATTTGGCAGTATAAGAACCATAAGTCCTAACTGTAAATCAGAAGTTTTCTATTCTATCTTAACTAAAAACTAACAAAACAAAAAAGTAAGAGGTATGATAAATTTTCTTTACATATTATTAACTCAAAGTAAAATGCTATTTCTTCAAGTTGGAAATGAGCCTCCTTTTACTACTCTGGACACACAGATTTGTGTTTTAATTCGCTCTGCTTACTGACAAGCCTGCTAATCAGGAGGTGATCTACGCTTTCCCATATTACTCAGTTTTCAAATCACAAAATAAGTTTATGTATTATGCTTAAATAAACTATTAAGAGGAGACTACTAACATCCATGAACAGTCATTCATAATATTCTCTAAAAGTCAAGGCCTTTGCCTAGTCAACAGATGTAGTAACAAGAATATGTAATGCCAGAAACACGCTCTCTCAAAGCAAAGTTTGGATAATTGCTCTCCCAAATTAGGGAGCACAGTCAATAAAGAAATGAAAAGGAAGTAGAAGCTTGTTATCTTATGGATAGAGGAAATTGTACTTTAACCTGAGTTTCACTTAAGCCTCTGCATCTCAAAGTGACATGGAAAATCTTTATCCAGAAAGCAACGACAATCTTGTATTTTGTTTTGCCTTTACAAAACACTTCAAGTTGATATTAACAGCTATTCATTGGATTCTCAGACTTCTTGGGGGGGG